ATGACAGAAACCATTGCAAAGAACACGAGAAGAGTGCATTCAAACTACGCGTCTTAGAAAGAACAAATTTAAATCTAAAACTCTAAAAATTCACCTATAAAGTTAAGCCACAAGCATTTAAAGTCAGGAAGCTTTTAGCCATGAAGAACTGATTCCATGCGCGTCCCTGTTCACCATATGTCTGTTATTAAAACAGCACCTAAAATATCGAAAGACTAGTTCCTAAACTAGGATATTCCATCAGGAAATATTTCAGTGAGAGATATGAATTGGCTACTACCAATATGTTCTGATTCAACCATAATTCCATAGGAATGTTTATCTTCCTTTAAATTTAACGTAAATTAAAGGCTACCCTCCCCCAGCGATCACCGATTTGCAGCGTACCAGCGATACACGGAGAGGCTGCAGTAATGTTGGCTGCAAGACCCAAAACTGAGAGCCCCCCTGCTTGCTGCTGGCTGGCAGTGGAAACAGCGTCGAGACCTGCGGGGCTTGCACAACCCTGGAGTTTCTCGTTCATCGCGGACAAAGTTTTTTTTTTAACCCTGTAGTTTCTCGTCCATCGCTGACAAAGTAATCGTCATTCCCAGGGTGACTCAGAACCAAGACTAAATAAAACATTAACGTGGCAATCTTTTTTAACAACTGTCACTGCGGCGTTTGCTTGCAGCATGGCAGTGACAGCTTTGTGGTGTGTGTCACAAACGCTCGTGTCGGGGAAGGAGTCCCAGCTGGGTTGAGGTACCTGACAGTAAACAAGCCAAACACAGCCACTGACGTGGAGCCAGAAACAAAACCACTTCTTAATGTGAAGCACAGCTTTCAAATAGCCGACTAGTGCTCCAACACCCCTTATCAAAGCAATTCCGTCAGAACTTTTCTCTTCTGTGTCGTCAGGTGTGGTCATGCATCATATCAAATCACGTTCAGGGTTATTTACTATTTATGCAGTCGTAAACCTAATGACTTTTGAAACACACCTCAACGACAGAGCCCCGGCTGCCCGGGCAGGCTTTGCAAGGACCCGTGCCCGCAGCCGGGTTGCAGTCCATTGCTCGCTCCATCGCACAGGCCGAGCGGGGCCCCTCTCCACCGCCTCGCAGGGCCGACAAGACACGGCTCTCTGCATGCTGTCACAAAAGCCGGTGCCCAGCCCTGGCTCCCCGGGTCCTCCCCAGCAGCGCCCAGAGCCGGCGGGGAGGGGCGGGCCGCCTGACGGGTCACAGGCAGCCTCCCCGCGGGGGGCGGCGGCTTTGCAGGGGTCGGGAGCCCCGGCGAGGCTTTGGGAAGGGCTCAGTGGGGACGGGCGA